AATAATTTCTTCATTGGGTTTATTAATTCTCAGATTTTCCTGATGTCAGAAAATGTACTTTTCTCGAGGAACATCTAGTTCAGAAAAATGTTAAATGTCACTGAAACCTATTACAGCAATATCATCTTTCAAAAATTAAATCAGCAGTGTTAGCATCATACACGAAAACGTCCTGGGAAAACGTCTTCTTGATATGGAGTAGCAAGAATTGTGCTAGTATAGCCTTATATATTACCTAGCTCTAAGGGGAAAGTGTCATTATATCATTTCAGAAATGTAGAGAAATAACTAGCTGCCTTGCAAACAATACAGTAGAACATGTCTAAATCCAAACGCCCTGGAGTGGGACAAGTTTGTTTGGATAATAGTGTTTCTTATTCAAGTTTATTATATAGGAGTCAATGAGAGAAGCAATTCGGACTGAGAAATAGTGTTCGCAGATGAGAGATTTTGGATTAGAGAATTGTTCTGATATACAGGTTTTACTGTATATGATTTAACGAAAAGTCTAAAGGGCAAAATGTGTTGCAGACTTCAAAATTATAAACTGTAGGCTAATAAATCAATAGAGAGACGAGAAAACCATATTATATAACGATTCTCAAGTAAACCATCAACCCAACTAGGATTGAAATGAATTGAATGGTGTAATGATGATTACATAAATCACTTCTCTATGATTGGCTAGTTTATATCTCAACATGAGGGAATCACTTGAATAATTGGAGATGGCGCATACTTGGGAATGGGAATTGTAAGAATCACATTTCGAATTGAGATCGTACTTTTTGTCTTTCATGGGCCATTTTGTCATAGCTAATAGCTATGAAAAAGGTGTTTCTTTTTGGAGAGAATCATGCCACGGTTCAATGCCTTTCTTGAGGTTTTATCACTCATCTGACAAATCAGTCGAACTGATGAATATTTATAACTACGCATGCCCATCCTCCTAAGCAGTATCCAATAATCCGTACCTCCTTCTTCCCCCTGCTATAACCAATTTGGAAGCGCCCGATTAAAACTGAATCACGTGATCTAATTATGATTTCTGTCGCAGTGTTGCGACAGCCAATCAGATTGCGAGTTCTTAATCGGGGAAATGCTAACTGCTTATAGCAGGTTGTAAAAGAAAGAAGATATTCTGGATTTTGAAGCCCTGTGATCGGAGGATGCGCATGCCCTGTAGCCAGTTTTTGCTAAGGGGAGAGCAGGGGCGGATCTGGGAACGAACAAGGGGGGGGGGGGCCCAAATTTCAGGTCAGAGAAAAAAATTGAAATTTTGAGGCCCATTTTCTTCAAATTTGGCCTTGATTAAGAACAAGGCCTTAAAAGCCCAGTTATTACCAAAAAGGCCCACTTTTTGGGGCCTTCAGGCCTTTTTTGGCCCAAATTTTTTTTTGGTCCAATTTTTTTTTCTGGGCCCTAATCCGCCAGTGAGAGGGTATAATTATAAATAAAAATTCCAGGGAGTTCTTTAAAAATTCTGGCCCTAAATCACTCAAAGATGCTCAAAAACTGCACGATTTGAAAGACTTTGGGCCTGCACGCTTATTGTGAACAACAGAGGGACAGTAATCATGAATGTCACATTTGTCATGATCATCACTTCCTATCTTTTATCTGAATTCTAACAATGGCCATTGGGAGAGGAGACAGCAATAAAAATAGTCAAACTGCCTTCTTAGTTGTTTTCCCTTAATTAGTCAGGTTCTTAGACAAACTCTTATGGAATTGTTAGCACACATGTTGTTGTCAATTGCGAAAGGTGTCATTATGTAAAGTCAGGCACCAAAGCTGATGTAACAAAAATAGAGTGATAATCACAGATTATTTGGCCACAATGACAAAATGAAGAAAAGTAACATTCTACTGATTATATTGAGATATTCTGACCTGACCACTGCTGAGAACAATCCTAGGGAGATCAATACAAGGTTATTTTGACATAACGGGAGCTGATAATTTTGAATAATCGTTCCCCGCAATGTATAGGTCTTTATTGTCTATCATGTCAAAATGTCCTGGCTGATGTGATTCAAAGAGTATAATAATTATCCACGTGGCCTCCTATTCATCCATTTTCATTGCTGCTATTTCATGATTATCATACTTATTACATTATCAAGAGAATACAAAGAATAGTACATTTTTTTACTATTGAATTATTCGCAAATGTTCTCAGAAAAAAAGCTTGCAGATTTGATAAATTTTCGCATCTGGTCAGTTTTATGGGCATACACATGAGTTTTACAAACGAAGCAAAGTATAAGGAATATTATTAGTGTACAGTAAGACCTGTGTAAGTGGAACACCTTTGGTATATCTGCAAAGTGTTCCACTTGGGAGGTGTTCCACTTACAGAGGTTCATTTGACATTAGGTCAATAGGTCATGGGTCATTGTGGAGGGGTCACTTATGGAGGTATTGTATTATTGAAGTGTTCCATTTAACAGGTTCTACTTTACAGCCTTCAGCCCTCTCTTTGGTCTTCCCCACTCACTTTTGAAGGAACATATTTCATCACATGCATAAGCTCACCTTCTTCAAATGGCTTCAAGTCAACTTTAAGTCGGAGCAGAGGGTCCGAGGCACTCATGAAGGCAGCGTCCAAATCCCAATCCGATAGCAGAGAAAGATAACACTCCCTGTTGTACTCATCTCTAGACAGATAGGATACCGTGAAATCCCTGAAAATACATAGAATATGGAGATATAATGTTAATACTAATAGACATTGGGGATGTGAAGTGAATGTGTGCAGAGTCGTATTTATTCATTTTGGATAAAAATCTCTTGGGAAATTTTTGAATAAAATGTACAAATCTTTTTTATCTATGAGTCATCTTCACCAAGCTAATCACTTGTGATGTTTTAACTGAAAATACCAAAATAACCAGGTACCAGGATGTTTTAAATAGTACGAACATAGTATGAACAAGGGTTGGGATTGAAGATTTGTCCACTATGGTGGGGAGAGATATGACAAATTTTCTCCTCTTAAGTGTAATTGTAAAAGATATATTAGAAATCTTATTTGTATTTCACATGTGAAACTGCTCCTCCATAGCGGACAAGGGCATTATTTTTTACAAAAAAATTAATGAACACAATATAGCCCCCGAAGGGTGCGATAAAAAGACCAAATACATCTATATATCATTAATATTTCCAGAGTTATAATGAAAATATATGTAAATATTATCATATCACTATATCGTGCCATTAAAAAGTTAAAAAAGAAATTGCCAATTTTCGAGTATGATACTCTGACTGTGTTAATAGCTTTACTCCTAGTGTTATTAGACTTCAAACAGAAGTGAAGGTTAACCGCAAATGATATACCCATTGTATGAGGTAGGTAATTTTCATAATGAAACGTATTAGTTAAAAATATCACCCTATGCAGACAGAGCCTGTGGAAATATTGGGTGCGGCGCAAATGAATGGAGGGTGCAGAGCTAACGGTCACTTTTGAATTTAAATTGGGATATTTCTGAAACTAAGCCGTTTTGGGACTTCAAATATACCAAGATATGTGTATTGACACCAAATATCAATAAAATTGTGAAAATAGTAGTGCAATTCATTTTATAGCGACGCAGTATGCCTTAAACATTTCCCAGACCTATATATTTTGAGACTATCCTTTTAATACTGCGTCCCCAGCATTCATAAAAAATGGTGTTCAAGATACACTACCCATGCAAATTATTTTTGCATCTTGGAAGCCAGGCAGTATCTGTGTGATTTTATAAAAATGAGCCCCCTCTAAATATTGGGTGCGGAGGTACGTTTATGGAGCTCCTCCGCACCCAATATTTAGAGGGGGCTCATATCTGAAAAACATTTCCGAATTTTTATAAAAAAATATAAGAAATATCCCAATTTTAAATTCAAAAAAATGACCGTTAGCTCCGCACCCTCCGCTCATTTGCTCCGCACCCAATATTTCCCACAGGCTCTGCATAGGGTGAAAATATATTGTGAAGTTTTTCTGAAAAATAGCATGCTCCACCATAGTAGACAAATCTCCCGATCCCAACCCGTGATGAAAAACAATGTTTATTATTGTTATTAGATGAAGTCATGTGATGCCACATAATCAGTAAAATATTGATTCAATAGATAGAGGCGATATAATGTGAATATTGCCCTCAATACACTTGGTGAGAACATGATCAGTGAGGAACAATCAGACAAACTTAAGACAAAGATAAATGAAAACAATGACAATCTATGAGGCCGTTCAAAATTACAAGCATGTTTAGTGTTATAAGCCTAGCACCTCAAAACCTCCCTTGTAAGACCTATTCAATATTTTATGATTTTCTTTCATTTTGACATGAAATTTGAATTAGATGAGGTCATAGAATACCAAAGTTAAATAGCCATAGTAACTATGTATCTCCCATTGTCTCCAGAAGGAGACCACCAACATTTACCTGGTCTCCCCTTTCTATTACTAGATATTGTACCTGCTTATTCCCTTAGCTTATGTATTTGTAATTTTCAATTAAACAAAAGCCTGATCAAGTGGACTTAATTTCCCCTAAAATCCCAAAACACATAATTAATATGTAATGGCCTAACAGGCTGTGTACATATGCATAATAGAAATGCCATTCAAAGATTAAATAACTGACTTCTGAAATTCTCAGTAACAGATTAATATTATTAGAAAGGGGCAAAAAGCTGTTTCTATTGAAGTGGTTTCAAATAAATCCAAAAGTAGTGGAAGAATCCAGGTATAAAATACTAATAGGCATATAGGAATATGTGAAAATTAGACACTTCATTGAAATATGTATACATTAAATGAAACCATGTACTGTACGTTATCAATGAAAATATTGATTTAAAGGATAGAGAAGTTATGGTGTTGATATTGTCTGACAATTTGCTATCAAGTCTAAGTGCAACAGATGGTTGGGTCAATGTGTGAACTTGAATACTCTTTGCGTTCTTCAAAATTGGTCTGACCAATTTAACAAATCTGTGATGCTTTGACAGGAAAAAGGGGAGAATTTGGAAATTGACAAAGAGGCAAAAATGTTTTTGAAAATAAAATTAAACAAAGGCATTTACACGCAAAATTTCACTGCCTGCTATTTGTTACAGATGGCTGAACAGCATTCACCAAACAGCAACCACCATACACTGTCCAAAAAACTACTGGTGGTAACAATTTATCATAAAAATAAGTAGATAATAATTTGCAATATTTCCAAAGACATAATCAACTAGTAAATTCCTACTTTATTACCACCTTCTATAATTATAAGTCACGGGTCTGATTACAGAACACATTTATTACTGTATATAACTCAATCCTATAATTTGCTGAGGTTTAATGGAGACTTAAAGAATGGTATATTACACTACAGACTTTGAGCCTTGCTTGAAGAAGCAGCAATGATTACCTAATAAAATT